TCTCAAAAGAAGAAATTCAAATGGCCAGAAAACACATGAAAAAATGCTCACCATCTCTAGCAATAAAGGAAATGCAAATTAAAACCACGCTAAGATTCCACCTCACCCCTGTTAGAATAGCCATCATCAGCAACACCACCAACAACAGGTGTTGGCGAGGATGCGGGGAAAAAGGAACCCTCTTACACTGTTGGTGGGAATGTAGACTAGTACAACCACTCTGGAAAAAAATTTGGAGGCTACTTAAAAAGCTGGACATCGATCTACCATTTGATCCAGCAATACCACTCTTGGGGATATACCCAAAAGACTGTTACTCCAGAGGCACCTGCACATCCATGTTTATTGCGGCACTATTCACAATAGCCAAGTTATGGAAACAGCCAAGATGCCCCAGCACTGACGAATGGATTAAGAAAATGTGGTATCTATACACAATGGAATTTTATGCAGCCATGAAGAAGAACGAAATGTTATCATTCGCTGGTAAATGGATGGAATTGGAGAACATCATTCTGAGTGAGGTTAGCCTGGCTCAAAAGACCAAAAATCGTATGTTCTCCCTCATATGTGGACATTAGATCAAGGGCAAACACAACAAGGGGATTGGACTATGAGCACATGATAAAAGCGAGAGCACACAAGGGAGGTGAGGATAGGTAAGACACCTAAAAAACTAGCTAGCATTTGTTGCCCTTAACGCAGAGAAACTAAAGCAGATACCTTAAAGCAACTGAGGCCAATAGGAAAAGGGGAACAGGTACTAGAGAAAAGGTTAGATCAAAAAGAATTAACCTAGAAGGTAACACCCACGCACAGGAAATCAATGTGAGTCAATGCCCTGTATAGCTACCCTTATCTCAACCAGCAAAAACTCTTGTTCCTTCCTATTATTGCTTATACTCTCTCTACAACAAAATTAGAAATAAGGGCAAAATAGTTTCTGCTGGGTATTGGGGGGGAGAGGAGGGGGTGGAGGGGTGGTAAGGGAGGGGTGAGGGCAGTGGGGAGAAATGAACCAATCCTTGTATGCACATATGAATAATAAAAGAAAAATGAAAAAAAAAAGATGAAAGAACACATTGAATAAGTGAAGATTTGACAACATGGCTTTACAGCTTGATATTCAGAAATGATACCAGCAATATAATTGTTGGATAAAAATTCCTCATGAAACAGTGTGAAGAACATAGTGAAGGTAGTAATGGATAAATCATTTGATCCATTTTCCATTGTTAGGTGATAAAGTTTTCCCAGGCCCACATTTATTTAAAGCTGATGATCCTTTGGATCTCCTGAAGTTCCATGTGATCTTATTGTTTTGAATCATAAAAATTCAGAAAGTCCTCAGGATATGTCATTTCCATCATTGTAATGGGGTTACATTACAATGTAACCCTTTCCAGGGTTACATTGATGATCCTTTCCAGGACATCTCCTCTTGTCACAGAATGTAAACTTCTTACAAAAGATTTTAAATTTATAGACACTCAAGAGCAGGAAATAAAATCAATACTTATGAACCTCTATAACTGTTTTAGAGTCAGTTAAATCTACTTTAAAAAACTCAACCTTGATACAACTTGAATGATCTTGGACAAATTTACTAAATTTACTTAACTAAATCTCTAACAGTAAAGGTACCTATGAGGTGGGGTCTGCTAAGAGTATTAGATAAGCTGGGCATGGTGGTGCATATCTGTAATCCCAGCTACTTTGGAGGGAGAAGATGGTGGGTCTTGAGTTCCAGGCCAGACTGAGCAAAGGTAGTAGTGAGATTCTGCCTCAAAAACAAAAGGTCTGGGTGAATAAATACTTCTGTGCTTTCATGGCATTCATGAGGCCCAGTGTTCATTACCAGTACTGCAAAAGAAAAAAAGGGTATTGAATAACACATAACTGCTTGATGTTGAATCTTTTAAACTTTCTGTTTCTTTTCTCACTCTTCTTGAAGTTTTCACAGGTCAATATGGCTCTTTTCTCTCTGTCTAAAATAAGTATTTATTTTAGCTTGATCCACTGGTTCTGTATCATTGAGCTCCATGTATAGGATTAGTCTCTGTGATTCTTAAATTTTTTTATTATTGTTGTATGGGGTGCATTGTGACATTTACAGAAGTTCTTACAATATGTCATAGTTGAATTCACCCCTCCATCATTCTCCTTTATCTCCCCCTCCACCCATGCCTGGAATTATTTCAACAGGTCTCAGTTTTCCACATACATGAGTACATAATATTTCCATGATATTCATCCTCCACACCCTTCCCCATCTCCTCCTGCCTCCCACAGGAACCCCTCTCCCCAGACAGGAACTGTTTTACCTTCTTATCCTTGGTTTTTGAAAAAACACATTTTAATTTGTATAAGATAGCCGTACAGGGAGTTTCATTGTGACATATCCATATATATATGTATTATAGCCTGAATTGGTTCATGTGATTCTGAAAATTAGCATGCATTTTTAACATTAACACTTTGTCCAAAAGGGAGGTTATTTGGAATAGCCTTTGTTTCTCCTCCCTATGCGGAGAAGGTTGGCAAAGTTAACCATAAATCTGTTTAATCAATAAAAATACTAAAATCCTTAAAAGTTAACAGGCAACAATGATATGATGCAATTTCTGACTTGTTTTTCCTTGTCTTATTTCCTCTAAACTTTTTATTACCTTGTATTTCAAATAAAGAAAAACTTGGCTCATGGTTGGCATTTAGTAAGTGTTTCTTTGTTGAATTAAGACAAGGGAAATAAATAAGTAGTTTGTGACAGAGGCAAAAGCTCCTCAATGTGGGCAGACTAGACCTTAATTAAATGTTCAGGTTAGAAAGCAATCTGCCACCTATTTCTCTTAAATGCAAAAGTACTCGGATTAATTTCTTAGGAGAGAAGGACTAAATTAAAGTGTCAGGGAAGTTGAGCCATTGGATAGTGTCTCTTCTCAGCAGTTAGGGTTTTATTCTTAAAGGGACCCTAGAGATGAAATGACTCAAACCCTTTAGTTTATAGGTGAGGAAACCAAGATGCTAAGAATTGAATGGCTTGATCCCGTGGAGGAAGTCATTTCTGGTTCTTTCCACAGAGGTAGCGCTTACAAGGACTTGCCCCAGGGTACTTGTTGATATTCACCCTTTCCTCTATTCCAGGATGCTTACATAGCTCCAAAAAAAACCAGACAGCAAGGTAAAGACTGCTTGAAAATATTGGCTTTGGAGTCTGAGAAACTGGGATTCAAATCCTTGCTTTATCACGTGCCACTGGCATGGCATTGGATAGCTTGTCCTAAGCATTGATCAGGTTGTCTAATCTCTCTGTGCCTCAGTTTCCTTCTCTACAATGAGGGGATGACATAGTCCTCTCTTCAGAATAGAAATAGCAAACCTTCACAGACTTATTCTTATGATCAGTGTAATTATATGTAAAGGGTTCTCACCAGCCAGCTCCTCAACTAAGCATCAGTTCCCGTTAACTATTAGTATAATAGAAATTAGGAGTGGAGATGCAGTTTAAGGAAAGAGATACAGGCAAAGATAGGCTGATATTTTGCTAGTAGTAGACTACAAATTTGGCTTTGGCTTCCTTACAGCCAACATAGAGAAAGAAACACGATTGACACAGTTCACAGGGAACTTAGGTTTATTAATTATATGCATGTATATATGAACACATGGATGTGATATATATATATAACATGTGAGTGAGATACACACACACACACACACACACACATGTGTGTATATAATATGACTAAACCAGACCTGCCTGTTTCGAATTTCTGAACAAGGTCTCTTTTTACACAGCAGTGTAAATTTTAGAGACTTAGTGAGTTATCCTGTGGGCTGCCCCAGTTTGTCTGAGACTCATTAGCATTCCCACATGGGAATTGATAGCAGAACCCCACTAAGTGTTTTCCCCTCAGTACACTGCATTCTCAGGAAGCTCAATTATGACTCTGGATGAGGCCGGATGAACTTGGGGTAATGGCGCTATTTCGCTCACCACACCAGGTGCTCTGTAACCATAGGGATCAGCCTTATTTGTCTTCACATCTTCATTCAGTGCATCTCACACATGGTGGAGGCTCAGTTAATGTTTATGATTTGCAGTAATAAATGAACACTGCAGAGAAAGTTCTGGTAAGAGAGCCCTTCTGGTTTAGGGCCTGACTATAACAGAGGGACTGTTTCTACATCAGGCAACATAGACTTTTCATCCAGTTCCAGTGACAGTGCTCAAGGTTTAACTCTCAGTATTTTAAATGAAAAATAAAATCTGTATGAACTCTTCTTCCCTGGGTACTTATGTGCAACGACTTGTGTTATTAAATGTCAGAATGAAATAGAACCAGTTTTCCTAAAAAAAGAGAGAAAAGTATAATTCCAGCACCTCAGATATCTTTAGAAACAGGTATATTAATCAATTTCAAGACACATATACCATTATACCTCATGCAAAGTCATGAATGAGATCTCATCTCTCAGAGAGGTAATATAATCTTTGCTTAGGATATCTCCTACAGAGAAAATGTCAAAAGATTATGATTTATAAAAATATTTCTAAATCTGCATATTTACATATGTGAAATACTCTAAATTTTCTTTAGGAAATAATGAAAATTGCTTATTTTACTTGAATTATACATTTTTACATGTATTGTTTCATGTATTTATTATAGTGAAGAAGGAATTTCTTTTCATTGAATAGGTATTCCCAAATTAATTTACCTTAAATCTGTCATTTATCCAAGTTCATAAAATTAGAGGAGAGAAATGTTGACATTTATTCAGTGTGGTGTTGCTTTTCCTTTTTTGTTTATGCTTAATTATTCCATTCCAGCTAGGAATCCTTTAACAGGAAAGTCAACTGAAAAGTTTTTGGAGAGATTGGGACTAGACAGGTACTTGGCTTGTTTCCTGTGCTGCATCTGAGCCTGTACTTAATTTGTGCAATAGAGTTTTCCTTGACCCAAATCTAAGTCTGTAACCCTTCTCTTCTTTCTCAGCCCCTCTGCTTTTACCCTGTCCGAAGTTAACATGTCTCTGCAAAAGGAGCCCAGAGTAAACACCTCTGCACTGCAGAAAATCGCTGCTGACATGAGCAATTTGATTGAAAATCTAGACACGCGGGAGCTCCATTTCGAGGGAGAGGAGGTAGAATGTGATGTGTCTCCCAGTGACCCCAAGACTCAGGAAGGTAAAGTCTGGTCATCGGAGCAGGGCAGAGTTTGTCAGGGTGGACGGGCAGAACACAGTATGAAGTGACCAGCAAACACTGGGCCTTTCTTGCAGAGATCATAATGCAAGGCTGAGGATGGGCTCCTAAGGGTCTGGCTTACTTTGCCAGTTAGGATTCTTACAGGGATGCCTGTAAGGGGCAAGGCATGCTACCATCATGTATTGGAGTAACCGCATTTCCTTACTTATTTTTCAGTGTGTATCCCTTTCTCCGCTATTTATAACACTCAAGGATTTAAGGAGCCTAACATTCAGACGTATCTCTCCGGCTGTCCAATAAAAGCACAAGTCCTGGAAGTGGAGCGCTTCACAACAAGGGTCAGAGAGCTTATGTACTCCCCCCGCCACCCCCGCCCCCACCGCTTTTGAGTCAAGATATCTGAATTAACACACAGACTTCTATTTTCCTTCCCTAGCCAGGGCCGCATTCTTCAGGGTTTTGTTTTTATTTGTCCCTGGCAAGTTCTCACCACCTCTCAAGATTTTGCTTTCTTCTCATTTGATCTTTATTCTCCTACTCCTCTCTTCCCCCTTTCTTCACAGTGCTTTTTTTTTTTTTTCTTAAGACATGTAAGCCAATGTCACTCTTCTACCCTGCTTCTCTCCCCAGTTTTCTATTTCATTTGGGACTCTTGGGGCATTTCCATTCCAGCTAGAATGCCAAGTGTAAATCAAAGAAAAATTTACTTCCTTAGTGCTTTTTTTAGCAGGAGAATGTTGGTGGTACTTGGCTTTTAAAAGACTAAATACAAGCTGGGTGCAGGAGGTGGTGATTTGATCACAGTTCACAGCGAACCTGGGCAAAAGGTTACCAAGACCCTATCTCAACCAATAGCTGGGCATGGTGGCACACGCCTGTCATCCTAGCTATGTTAGAGGTATAAATAGGAGGATCAGGGCAAAAATGTGAAGCCCTATTCAGAAAATAACTAAGGCAAAAAGGGCTGGCGATGTGGCTCAAGTGGTAGAGTGCCTGCCTAACAAGCATAAGGCCCTGACTTCAAACCCCAGTAATGCCAAGAAAGAAAGAAAGACAGGAAGGGAAGGAAGGAAGGAAGGAGGAAGAAGGAAGGAAGGAAGAAGGACGGACAGAATAAATGCTGGAACACTGGATTGACAAGGAAGGAAGGAAGGAAGGAAGGAGAAGGATAAATGCCAGGACGCTGGATTGACCAGTACTATTATCTAAACACCCTGCTGAGAGATTCTGCTGCAGGTTCTGCCTTTCTAATGTGCTCCTGGCACCCCATCCTTCAGTCCCCAAGCACATGCACTTTTACAGAACACTGGGAAGGCTTCAGGGTGAAATGCCTTCACCAGGCAGAGCTAAGCCCTTGGAAGCAGATTAGACCAGCAGAAGCTGGTTAGGTGGCTGTGTTTGCTCTGTTGCTGGTTGCAATTCATAGCTGTCAGGTCTGGCAGGCACAGTCAGCTGCTGCAGGGTGGTGGCCTTTGTCCCTCAGGTTAAGCCATAGCCGTGGCAGAGTAAGGCTTCCACTGATTCCTGCCTCAGGGGACACAGAACATAATAACCTTCAGTCACGGGCAGCCTCACCTCTCCTCCCTCCTTGTCTCCTGGAAGGTGATGGGGCAGCCTTGGTTTCCTGATGGCTCTGTTCATGCTGTGTCCTGGTACTTGTTTGTGTGCTGACACCTAGAAGGGTCTAGTCTTTGCTTCAGGCTTTTCTTATATTTTTGGTCCATGGCCCCTGGTAAACCCTGATAAAGCTGAAGATGATCTTTGCTTCTTGTTTTGCTTGCCAGCTTTTAGACTGATAGGCAATAACGTGGAGGGGTTAATGTACAGACTAGAACCAGACTGCCTGCTTTACTTCCTCTCTTAGCTTGGACATCTCAACAAGTTACTTAACCTCTCTGTTTCTCCATTTCCTCATCTGAGTAATGGGTATGGTAGTGCTTACCTCACATTTATTTTGAGGATTTAGTGATAATACTAATACATATTATTGTGCTCATATTATAAAAGTATGCACTATACACGCAATACTGTGCGACCTTTTCCACCTACCCTTCCTGAGCACTGGTGGCGCCTCGGTACCAGGGAGGTGGTATAGATAAAGCTGGACCTTGGAATGTGTTTCAGAAGAAGGAAAGAAAGCATGTCGTGGCATTTGTTTAGGATGAAAAGGGCTAAGGAGGTGTCTGTCACCTCCTGCTTCCCTCTCAGCTCCTCCAGTTGTCTGTTCACTGCTTATGGGTATGGATTAGACGCTCATTGTCTCCTTTACCTAGTTTCTGGGTTCCCCTGTGTGTGTGTGTGTGTGTGTGTGTGTGTGTGTTGAAAGGATAGGGTTTGTAAGAGTTGTCTGGTCTGATTCAAAGTTTGTATTCTATAATTTATCAGGTGAACATTTAAGAGAATATTGTTTCTGTAATTAACTGTTTCAAAAATTTTACTTAAGTAGTTATATAAAGTAAGTTGGCTGAGCTTAAGTATATTTTGATGTTGCTTATTGAGAGCTTTCAGAATTTTATATCTTATATACAAACACCAACCATTTTTATCTCTCTCTGTAGGTACCAAGTATCAACTTGTACACTATTGAATTAACACATGGGGAGTTTAAGTGGCAAGTTAAGAGGAAATTTAAGCACTTTCAAGAATTTCACAGAGAGCTGCTCAAGTACAAAGCCTTTATCCGAATCCCCATTCCCACCAGAAGGTAACTAGTTCAGAATTAATACAAAATTATCCAAGTATTCAAGTTGGATAGAAAGTGTATATCATTCATTTTATAGGCCATCTTGTCCATCGTTGGTAGATATATTCAATTAAATAGCTTTTTTCAAAGAACCATCTCATGAAAGATAGTACGAGAGTTATAATCACAGAATAATGTAACAAATGTTTGCACTGTGTGTATGTATATGTTTTAGACACACATTCAGGAGACAAAATGTCAAAGGGGAGGAGCCCCAAGAGATGCCCAGTTTGCCCCGGTCATCTGAAAACAGGATTCGGGAAGAACAGTTCTTTGGCAGAAGGGTGAGTCCTTGCACTGTTCTGTTGTTGGGAACACAAGTTCACAGCACCGTAATGTGGCATCTAATGAGGGCGGGGGTCTGACTGCAACCTCTCTCACACCTGGATGGATCAGCTTCTCTGGAGCTAGTCCCTCTTGTCCCCCGAGGCGTGGAGAGGTGTGCTGTCCTGGGAGAGGCAGAGCGCTTGTTAGGAGTTGGGGCATGAAGAAGCGTCCTCTCCACTGGAACAGCCCTGGGCTTGCGATGGATTGGAGACTGAGCACATTGTCATGGGTCTTGAGGTCTAGTCTTTTAAATCTACATATCCCATGTATTTTCAGTAGCTCATTTTAATATATGTAAAATCGCATCCCTATGCTATAGGTGGGGCAGTTAGAAGAGTAGGGTGGAGCATAGACACGCACTCTAGAACAGAAGGCTCAGGACCAGGGACATCTCTGCCCACTCTGCTGTAGTAACTGATCTGCCCAGGCTGGGGGGATGAGGCTTTTTTTTTTTTTATTAGCACATAAGTAATTTGATCATTTTATCAGCTCTGTTTTGTAATTGGAAGATTTTATGCTTTAGGGGAAATATTTGAATCTTGTAGTTGTTTCTTGTCTAAAATCCTTTTGGGATTTGGATTAAGTATTTTCCAAACTACCTAGATACAAAAGTTATACAATTTTGGATTTCTGTGAACACATATATGAATCCAACTGAAGATGATTACAGCAATTAACCCTTAGTGACTTAGCAAAAAGGCACAGGGGATTTTGCATCAGTCAATATGATTGACATACGATGCCTCAGAGCCCTAATCCTACAGCTCCACTCTCATCATACACACATAGCATCTTAACATAGGAAATCCAGGGTATATCTCACTACAAAGTCTTTCTTTTTCTTTTACCATCTGCTACTTTTTTTTTAAAAAAACTACTTTGAAATTGCTAAGTGTCTAAACTGAATGTTAGACTTGAAAATGTACAGGTTTTTATAAAATCAACCAATGCTTCAAAATTACCTACTATGGGCAAGTCCTGCTCTAATAGTTAAGAAAGATTAAAAAACATGTAGTCAGGCCTTGCCAGCTATTTTGAGAAGACTTCAACATGTTCAAAATTAGACAGCAGGAAGAGATTTAAAATAATAATTCAAGAGAACTCTGGCAAGAATAAAGCACCTAATACTTCTAGCATTCCCTTGCCACTGCTAATATTAGTGAATAACTGAATAACTAGCTTCCAGAAGTTAAGATGAAATGGTTATCTCATCATTGCCACTGTTTAAAGTTTTCTACTAATATGACCATGCTAATTCTTATCTAAAATATTTGCATTGCAGAAACAACTGGAAGATTACTTGACAAAAATACTAAAAATGCCCATGTATAGAAACTATCATGCCACAGTAAGTACTATTTGGTGATTTCGAAGTAATTTACAAAATAACAAGTTGTGAGCTAAATTTTGGATAGTTTTATTAACATAAATACTTAACATGTTTACATTAGTCCCTGAATCACAATAAGTTGATTTGACAGCAACGATCCAGTTTATGTTGATGTTCCACTTTTAAAATATTGAATAGAACTTCAAGTAGTCTGCAGCAACAGATTTAAATGAATTTGACATGCTATTGTAGGCTAGATTATCAGAAATCAACTCTCATCTCCCGTCAGGTTTCTAGAATGAGGCCAAAAGTCTTTCTAGCTGCAAAGAAAAACCTATTGAGTAGTGAGTGATGAAAACTGTTAAGCAGAGTTGAATATCCCAAGATTATAGGAATATACTTCTGTTGCTGTCTGATTGGCCTGGCTTTTCATGTGAAAGTGAGATGCATGGGAAAAGCTAGGAAAAGAAAAACTCTTGAGAAATCCAAGAAAAGAGGGTGGCAGGACTTAGAAACAGCCATAGAGATTAAGCTTGGGTGGCAGGCAGCCAGCAAGCAGGAGGAAATGGGTTTCCTGTGTCAGCAAACAAAGAGTTCTGCCCTTGAGAGACCTTGGCTATCCAGTGGATAACTGAGAATGTCTGGATTATTGTATTTATGTCTGTGCATGTCTAGACTGTGTTGCTGTAGGGTTGTATGCATATGCACGATTCAAGTGCAGAATTTAAGAGTGGGTGCAGTTGTGACTTGGACCCTAGGCTAGAGAATGTCGTCCTACAAACACATGCACAGAAGAGGGAAGCCCTCAGTGCCTTTAGGAGAGGAAGTGAGAATGCCTGGCTCTCTGAATTTCTTTGAGGTGGGAGCTGCCCTCTGACTGCTGCCTGCTGGCGGGTTATTTGGGGACTAGTCCAAATATGCATTTGGCTAGTTAGTTGCCTTACACACAACACAACTCTCATGAGGCTACCTTCTTTGGCAGCTTACGCTGAGACGTTCAAAGGACTTGCAGTAGCTTCCATAGCTTGGGAATCCCGGAGAAGTGTTTTCTTAGGGAAGACAACCAGATAATGTCAAGAGACAGATGACGGGCGGGGGGAGTGTCATCCTGTCTAGGACTCAGGACCACGTGTTGTTGAAACAGCATAGTGAATACAAATACTGTTATTCCTCCAGTTGTGTTCTCTGAAATCAGACATGATATTCCCTCTAGCAGAGGATTATTTAAATGTGTGCTAATACTCACATGAAATAATCTCCTATCTCTCTTGCTTTTCTGCCTGCCTGTGACTTTTCTTGTACTGTTTCTTTTGGCTTTCAAACAGTGCTTGGTGAGTTCGATCTTTCCTTTCCACACAGATTATTACACTTTAAATTCTGGTGTCTACTTAAGAATGTTTGTTTTGAAAATTTTAATTTTAATTACTTTTCCAGTCATACAAATCTTTTCAAAGTTAGGCCATCTTGTGTTTAGAAATCCCATGGTGCCTTATAAACATTTTCTTCTGAGGAGAAAATTCAATTAGCCACTTACTGGACCTATTATTGCCCTAAGATATTCTCTTCAGCAGCTGAATTCCCCAAAATGATTGAAGCATGGGATATAATTTGATATTTATTAATTCCCTGACATTATTTTCCTTTTATACTAAATTTAATCTGGCCTAAAGACTAGATTTCTTTCAATAATTGTGAGAGATATTTAAACCCTGCCTGCAAAGAACACATAAAGTTATTTTTATTTATATGTTAACCAGTTTAACCCTTAAGAGTATATACAAGCCTATTTGCAGTTATTCGGGTCTTTAAACGATAGAATGATGGTTCATGGGTCAAGGGAATGGACAGATTATGTCCTTAAGCCCTGGATTGTCCAGATCTTTGTTTGGACCCTGTAAGTTTTGATTTTCAAGTTCCTTCAGGAGAAACCTGAGAACGAAGCTAAAATGCTATGGTTGTCTTAGAAACGACCATACCTTGGCACGGTCAGACTCCATTAAAGACTGGAGAAAGATCTACTGTTATGGTATTTGTATACTAGGATTTACCCAGAAGGAGCTGGTCTAGACTTCGAAGCCTGACTGTCTACTTTCTGAAATGACATTTGAAATTAACTGGTGGAAGGTCATTCCTCTTCCTTTTATATACTTGATGGTTAAACTTAAACTCAGACAACTGCCTTTTCTTCCAGGACTAGGAGGACTTCCTTTGTTTTTATTTCCCTTTTTCCTCCTTGTAGCTCTGTCAAGCAGAGCATCCTTGTGTTTTAGTGGGTTTAGCAGCAGGCAGTTCGTTCAGAGATTGTTGATAATTCATTCAGTTTTCCTTACTTAGCTGTAAAATGGGTATGCGGGTATTTCACCTTTTCTCTTGATGTAAGTATTAAAAAAAAAAACCAGCAATATCTAGCTAATTTGTGCATTACATACAAGAAAATCCCATACAAGAATTCCTTTTGTGTTATGGAATTGTACTAGTTCTGGCTGTCTTACAAAACCCACAGAATGGGTATTTTAATTGGTAACAGGAAAATACTTATCTTCCAGAGAATTAGAGGGAAGAGGAATAAGGAACAATAAACGTATTTTTCTTACTTGAGATTAAAATCTATACATGGGACAAAATGCACAGTTTCCAAGAAAAGGTCCAGATAAGATTGTATCTCCATCCTACCCAGAGTCAATCAGTTAACTCCTGTGGCTCAGGTTCCTTATCTCCAAAATGGTGATTAGCTTGAAAAGCTTGCACAGAACATTCTGCAGATCAATAATGCTGGCTTCATCTGTCCCTCATTTTGTAGGATAAATGACATTAATTTGAGTACGTTTGAATAAAGATGCAGAGTTTCTATTCCAACAGAGAGAAGTGTACTGAGTTCAAAGTCTGTGCCTGGGAATTAGGGAGGTGTTTTCTGTCTCAATCTTGAATCCCAGATTCCAGAGGGACTTTAGTCGGTAGTCCAGCCTCCTGTTCCTTCCATAGATCGGATGTCTTAGTCCCCTGTAGCTGTGTTAGCAGCAGCCATTCCTGGAGTCCCCATCCTGCTCCTCACCCCCGCCCCCAGGAAATGGCCCTATCTGAACCTCTGGTCTTCCCTGTGTCTCAGTTTCCTATCTGGCCATTGGCTTGAATGAATTTTTGCTACATGAAGAGTGAAATAGGCTTCTTGCAATGCAAGAATGAGTGGGGAGGACAGCATGGACGTGATTGCCAAGTAGTTTCTGGGGTTACTTGCTACCCCAAGGTTTCTTGTCTGCCTCTTGGCTTGGAAATCTTTTGCTTCTGTTTCTTTAACGTTTTAAGTATACAATTGGTAAGTCACAATGGAATTTTCTGCTTGAGACCACTCTCCATGTGCTAAGAACATTATTTCATTGCCTTGATCTTTTCCAGAACAAAAACAAGACAGTGATTAGCACTTCCCTTAGCAAGCTCAGTAGACGCACGCTAGTTTAAATTGATTTTAAATCCTTACGCACGAGCGGCACCTGTGCTCGTGGAGACTGGAATTCTTAGCATGGGCAATGTACTGGGATCTTTGTTAACATAAGCACTGTGAAACTGCACGTTTTGTTAATTGGCTTTGCTTCTCAGTTGACCTTGATACATTTATTTTCAATCTGATAAATCTGTGTTAGAATGGTGCTGGGTGTTTCTTTTCTGGTGGTTCCTCCTTGAAATCTCTCTATAGTCAAACTGTTCTAAGCCATTAAAATAAATTCAAATTTACATTAATATGCAACTTGTAATTTTCTGTATTACTAATGTATTTTTTTTTATTTGGATGAAATGCTTTTACACTTAGCAATTTTGTTATCATCCCATGCAATGATGGCAGAATTATTTCAGAGACTATTTCTGTTGTCAGTTATTTGATGATAAGAGCTGTGTGAATAGAAAATATGTAAATATTACATGCATGGTTTCCTTGATTTTTGTCTTATTTCTTATTCCTCTGTTCAATTGTATAAATTAGTTACACCTCTGTAATAGTTTCTTTAAATGTAAACTGGGATTAACAAATTACCTGTCTGCTCCTTGAAGGTAAAATGGGAAGTTATGGTTTAGGATTTTAAGACATTTTGGTTTAAGATTTTATGATTGGCAGTCTGAATGTCATTTCTAATACTATAGTTTCCAATTAGAAAGTATTTTCATAAATCAGTTAAAAATGTGTGGGTCTGAATAATCCATATTTTATGTAAGAAATGAAATTTAAAGACCTTGCTTTTAGAATCCTTATTTTTTAAAAGAGCCATGTGAAGATATGTTTAATTTGAGATCTTTAAAAGTTATTTAACTCCTTTTAAATAATAAAAAAAAACTTTCTGCAAATATTTATAAGAAAAGGAAGTTGAACCTCATAAGAACTTCCAGCTCTGTGATTTCTGTAATCTTTTACAAGGTTAGTATTAGCCGTTTCCAATTACTTACAAAATTTTCAAGGAAGATTTATTTCATTTTGTTAATCTCGCTTATTTTATAAGCCTGGATGCTACTTCCTCTGGAGTCACAGTAGCCAGGACAAGGTCTGTAACTTTGTCACTACTTTCACTCCTAACTGGCCTGACTCCTCCCACAGAATTTAGTTTCCTTAATCTCTCCCTCTGCTTCTGATACTGGGAGAATATCTTTGCTGTCTTTGTTTTTCTATGGAGGGGGTTACAAATATGTACTGCAGACCACTGGCAGAAGTGGATTTACTGTTGACTGCTTGAAAAAAAAATAATCTGCAAATGTCTAACTCTAGACATTCATGGATTACTTGAGGCGAGGCCCTTGCATTTGTTAAACATTACATACTGAGGATTTGTTTTTCCTTCCATGCCCCCACATTTGCATCTAGCCCCCACCTTGCTAGAATATGCAAGCAACTCAGTGTTTAGGCTTGATGGTGCACGCCTATAAAACCAACACCGGGAAGGCTGAGGCAGGAGGTCAGGAAATCGAATCCACTGTGGGTGGGGGGAGGGGGGAGAAATGACCCAAATATTGTATGCATATGTGAATAAATAAATAAAAAAAAAAGGGCTGGTGGAGTGGCTCAAGGTGTAGGCCCTGAGTTCAAACTCCAGTACTGCAAAAAAAAAAAAAAAATCTTAATTCTGCCCAGTGCTCTCCAATCTCTCTGCAACCTACTACACATTTAATTTCCCATTGCCTTCCTTCATCTTACTCCCTGTAGCCCAGCTGTTGCCTTCCTACACCTTCTGTTCTTTTCCCTTCCGCCCAGGGCCAGTCCATGGTATTGCACCAGCATCTCTCCCTTCGCGAATGCTTTTTATTATTTTGTGTACACTAGGCCATGTAACTCTGTCCCCTAACAACAAAAAGAAACACACAAAATATTGGAATTAAACTCACTTTTCATCTCTACATCCAGGAGTGCACTCACTTTCTCAGGGCAATCCCACTGTTATTGACCTGCATAGCCTGTAGAGTATCAGTGTTAACACGTAGTAGTAGTACGTAATACATGTTTTTGTAATGCATACATTTCTTTTGTTCCTTTTCTCTTTTTTGTTTTCTAAGGTATGTGTTTTTGTTTTTTTTTTTTAATTTCTTTTCAGACAGAATTCCTTGATATAAGCCAGCTGTCTTTCATCCGAGATTTGGGACCAAAGGGCCTGTAAGTTCCATTGTTGGATCTTCAAGGAGAAGTGTGAAAAGCTATGAGCATTAACAATTGGTGTTAGCCTTTCTCCCCAGCAGACTTAGGGTGGCTGAAGGGATCCCACAATGGCAGTGGGATCCCTCCATCTTTCTCATATGCTGACAGCACTGATTCCCTCTACCCCAACAGGGGAAGTGTTGAGTACACACAGCAGGCCTGAGCTGTGGGAGAACACACTAGAATGCTGATGTGTAAGAGCCCTCCTTCTGAGCGCGTATGCAAGTTAACTGATGGTCATTTATTTTGTTAACTATTGAAAAATAATACTGCCTAAATATGTGCTGTATATATAGAAGGGAACTTATTTAGTGACTATTTCCTTCACCATATTAGAACTTGATCATATAAAGCACTTAAGTTTTTAAATTTTTATTCCTTAAGAGCATTGTTATACTTGTTTCAAGACTGTTTTCTTTTGTTTGGCCATTGTTATTGCTCTTTCTTGTCACATCTTTCAAAATCAAGATATCAGCACCTTCAAAGCGAGTAGCTTTGCTCCTCTTCCTTTGGCATGGCTCAGGTGTTAGACTGTGTGTGAAGGATACATGAGTGTGGTGAATCCATGATGGACCCTCCCATGGCTTGATAGGAGCTGTACCATGTAGAAATGCTCAGGGTCTTTAATTAGTATGTATTAATTGTACAAAATAATTGGTTTCATTGTGACATTTTCATACCCATAGGCTGCATTAGCTCTGTTTTAGGTTGTCACCATAATGGGAGGGAGCACTTAGTATTGAGGGCCAGGATGTGTTAAGATCCTGCATTTTGCCCAACAGAATTATGCAGCCTCCAATGCCAAAAGGGCTGTAACTGACAAGGGTGCCTTCCAGATTCATTGCCAGATTAGCCAGCCTAAAAATATAACAGTAAGAGAGTTGAGGGTGGAAGAAGAAAGAGTGAGGAGAAAGCTATGTGAGAAGATGGCTTATTTAGTACCAAGTTATAAAGCTGACCAGGAAACTTTGAAGATGGTGAGTTAACTTGATGTCTCTTTCAGAGAAGGTATGATCATGAAAAGATCTGGGGGACACAGAGTACCAGGCTTGAATTGCTGTGGTCAGGGAAGAGCCTGCTACCGGTGGTCAAAAAGGTATGATTTGGGAGCTGTGCGTATGAGTGAGTGTTTGTTTGTTTTGATAAACTGGGTATTTGAGGGGATTTATATGCTAGTTTTAAATGATAAATTACTTGAAAAGCATGGCAGAAAAAACATTTTTAATTATATTTTAAAATTCAAGTTTCAGCATGTATTTAAATATTCTATTCAGAAGTATACTAGTAGGCAGATTGTATAAAAAATATATCTACAAAGCCAGTGGGGGGTCAGGGGTAGAGCTTTGGTAGAGTGTATATCTGGCATGTACAGGCCCTGGGTTCCATCTCCAGCAAAAAAGAAAGAGGAGGAAGGAAGGATGGGAGGAAGAGAGGAAAGAGGGGAGGGAGGAAAGGAGGGGAAGAATGGAGGAAGGAAGGAAAGAAGGAAGGGGGAGGAATGGAGAAAGAAAGGAAGGGAGGGAGGAATGGAGGAAAGAAGGGGGAAGAAGGGAGGAAGGAAGGAAAGAAAGGGAGGGAGGGAGAAAAGGAGACTCAAAATTGGTCAGCCAAAGAAGAGGTAATATGGGCAATAGTCATATGAAAAGATGAAGATGCATGACGTCATTAGTCATTTGATATAAATCAAATCCGCCTTAAGATATAACTTCACACAGATTAGGATGGCTATAGTAAAAACATGGACAATAGCAAATGTTGGTGATGATGCAGAGAAATTGGAACCCTTGTATATTTCTGGTAGAAACGTGAAATGGCGCAGCCACTTTGAGAAAGCATTGGTAACTCCTTACACTGTTAAACATACAGTTACCATATGGCTTAGTAATTCTGCTCCTAGATATTCATCAGACACCATGTTTTGGTGTACATATATATATATTTGTCCATAGTGACAATATTCATAATAGCCAAAAAAGTAGAAACAACTCAAGCGTCCATCAGTTGATAAGTGTATAAATGAGGTATTTGCATACAAAGGGATATTATTCAGCCATAAAAAGAACAGTAAACTGCTGGTGGGTATAAAGTTTCTTTGAGGGTGGTGGAAATGGTTTGGAATTAGATGGAAGTGATGCAAAGTTTTGTAAATATGAGAGCATTGAACTGTGTTTTTAAAAGACAAGTTTTATAGTATGTGAATTATATGAGAGTGAAATTTAAAGGGAAGCGGGGAGAATAGAAGGAAAGGGTGTAGGAGGGTGAATATAGTGGAAATAGTATGTACTCATGAAGGAAAATGGAAAAATGAGGCCTGTTGAAACTGTTCCAGGAATGGGGGTGGGGGATTAAGGGGAATGGTGGAGGGGTGAATTCAACTATGATGTATCATAAGAACTTTTGTAAATGTCACAATGTACACCCAGTGCAGCAGCAATATGATAATTTAAAAAAGAAAAAAAATAAAGGGAGTGAAGTACTGATATAAGCTATAATATGCATGATCCTTAAAAACCTAAGTGAAAAAAGATAAGGCTACATATTATATGGTTTCATTTATATGAACTGTCCAGAACAGTTTGAGACAAAAATAGATAAGGGGTTTCTAGAGGCTGGTGCATGTTACTTTTTCTACTTTAATTCTGCTGATGGCAGAATAGGGCTTCTTTATAGTTATGAAAGCATTCTACTGTTCGGTACTAGTGATGGTTATATAACTTTGCAAATACATCACAAAGCCACTGAACTCTATACTTTAAAGAAACCTCGCTGAGCATCATGGTACCTGCCTGCAATCCCAAGCCTCAGCAGGCCTTGGCAGTAGGATTGTGAGTTCAAGGCCGGCCTGGACTACATAACAAGACCTTGCCTCAAACTATTAAAACATTATTAGGAAATCATATACATATTTTACCTCTATATAATATTTCCCCAACTTGAAAATTATAAGTGAGCTCACACGTACATGCAGAACAGCTATAGGTACATTCAAAGTATATAAAAGAAAAACAGTGATCTACCTTCAAACATAGTTATTTAAAATACATGGTCAACAAAAACAAGTCATTAAATTGGGCTTTTACTTTTTGAATTAGAGAAGAAAGAAGAAATTACAAGGGAAAGATCTGAAGATTAAAGTAAAGAAAATGGAAAATGCCTGTTCTTTAAAAAAAAATGACTAAACTAAAAAGGAAAATAATATAATTACAAAAAAAGAAAAAGTATTTGTTTCTAAATAAACTCTTCTGACTTGAATAAGCTTGGGATACAGGAAATCCAGACACTTCCACTTGAGGTGTCTTCTCACCCCAAATTGTGCCTAGATGAGGATGTGAGTGTGCAAAGCGGTTTAGAACGCAGCCTGCTGGAGGGGTGGCACCAGGTGGACCAGAGGGAAGGACAGGAAGGGCAGGCAGAAAAGCCCAAAAGGCTGTACTGTCTCTGCATCATTATGGACAACCGAGCTGCAAGCCTGCGGGGAAGCAGGTGCCCAAACCAGGCTGGAAGAGGATGGAGGGCCAGTCAGCCTGTCCCCAGCCCAGGCCTCTCTGTGGCCCTGCACAAACTCCTTCCGCTCAGTCTTCCCCAGTCATCAGCTGTCTCAGTCAGCTGCTCTTGCAACTGCAGTATTTGAGACCACTCCTTGTACCTGGGCTCTCTGGGCTGCCAGCAGCCCCTGGCCCTGCACAGAGCAGACTAGAAGTGCTTGCAGAGCCCATGGTTGCTCCTGACTGCTGTCCACTGTTCCCTGGGTCTGGATGGTACTGCAGCAGGTTCTGTGCTGTCTCCTGCAGTCCCTGCAGGTCCCAGCCTGGTTGTCACAGCACCCTGCGGGCAGCACATCCTTCAGAGCCCCCTTCATGGCTCTCTCCTCCTGTCTCCCTAGGGCTGCTCCCCGGCATCCCTCCCTGTGAGCTCCTTTCCAATCCATCTGCCCACATCCTATCTCAGAGCCTACTCTGGGCAGCCCAACCTGAGGCAACTTCTTAAGGAATGGAAGCAGTGGTCATAAATTCAGTCACATATGGAATGCTGCATGTCTACCATATTGTGTTCTGGCCAGCATGGAAACAAAATCCTGCCCTCAGGAAGCTGTGTGAGGGAAGTGCAGGCAATACCTAGGTGGACAGGGCATGGAAGTGATGTAAAAAGCATAAGAATTTTGAAGAAAATAAGAAATGGGATAGCAAGGAACAGAGCAGGTGGCTTTAGCTCCAGGAGTCAAGGAAAGGCTCCTTTTTAATTTATTTTCTGGAGGTGCTGGGGATTGAATCCAGAGCATCATGCTTTCTAGGCAGACACTACTACTTGAGCCATACCCCAGCTCTTTTCCCTTTTAGTTATTTTTCAGGTAGGGTCTCACATTTTTGCCTGGGGGCCAGCTTCCAACCATAATCCTCCTACTTATGCCTCCTATGTAATAGGGATTACAGGCGTGCACCACTCCACCCAGTTTGTTGAAATGGGGTTTGCTAACTTTTTGCCTGGGCTGGGTCTGAACCTCCATTCTCCCAATCTCTGCCTCCTGAGTAGCTGGGGTTCAGGTGTACACCACAAGGCCTGACCAAGAAAAGGCTCCTTGAGGAGTTGACTTTTGAGTTATAACCACTATGAGAAGTAGCAGCAAGGAAAGGTAGAGAAAGACTGCAGGAGACAAAACCAAGCCAGTGAACAAGTTAATGCGTGCAGCTGCCCTGTGAGGAAGGTGAGGCAGGGTGTTGAAGATAGCTCTTTAGATGGAAGGAGCCTCCCTGTAGCAGGATGGTAGAGACCATCCAAGGGAGGATGTAGAAGAAAGAGTTTCTAGGCAGAAGGACAGCTGTGGTGGGTGTGATGCACAGAGAGTCGGGCGTGGAAGGAGAGATCAGAAGATGAGGCTGGGAGGGCAGAGCTGGAACTGGAGCCCAGGGAGACCAGCCTAGGGCAAGCAGGTGCTCACCCCTCTGCCTGATTCCTTTCTTGATGCATATCCTCCTGTTAAAGAAAAAAAAATGTATTGACATAAAAAGAGAAAGGTTGAAATCAGAAGGGTTTTAACATATGGCATAATTAAAAAGCTTTAATAAAGGCAGTTTATCTGATGTCTGATGACTATAAAGAGCACATCATCATTGTCTAAACAGAAACCACTCAGTTTTGCATTCAGTTTTCACAATCCTTTTGTCAGTACAAACAGTTCCATACTTTCAGGCTGCCACGGTGGGGAAGCAGGAGAGGACTGGTTCAGCTAAGACATAAGTCACCCTTGCAGTGGGACGGTGCCCTGGCAGTCCACAGCCATTTTGTTTCTGTAGTCAAACAAGACTGTTGCCTACTCCAGTATCTGTAGAATTAGAGAAAAGTACCCCATTCCTGCAGGTGGAGCCAGCCTGCCTCAGAGCCTCTGTAGCAGGTACCACGTGCAGGGCACATCAGCACAGTGGCACCTGGTGACCTCTACCAAGACTTAACAGTCTTTGGTCCCTGGAGTTATTGTAGGAGCTTGTGCTGTTAGGACCATTTCTCAGTTTTGTTTTTATTGCTGATGTTGGGGAGTTTGTTGCAGGAAAATATGGCCATCCTACTGTCACCTGTACCATGCTCTCTGCTGTGGAGCTCTGGCTTGAGCTGGCTCTGATGGCATATCCTTGTCTTCCAGGCAAGCAAAGCCACAGGACTGGAACATTTGACATAAACTTCTAAGATTGTCAGTCCTGTCTGCCTGGGGCCCCTTCCTGGCCAGCAGCACAGTTCACAGTGCCAGACAGCTGGGCCTGTGCCCTGCTGTCTGCTCCGGATTGCATCACAAGCCATGAGAAAGAAGGAACTTTAACAGATGTGTAATCTGTCAACTCTCTTTTAGCCTTAACCAGATTTTATCAACTGGTGGCCATGTGTTTAGAGTCCTACCTCAGTATCCTCTGAGCTTTTCTTTGATATCAGGGCACTTATGCCCAGGAATGTTACAAGATTTCTTACAAAATGTCTTATGTCTGAATTAGCTGAAAATTGTCACTGACTCAGGCTCAGGCTCAGTTGTGATAGAATAGGTCCCCAAATAGAAGCTTCCTTTGAAATTTAGTTTTGGTGGGACTCCTTTCTTTCTTCAACTTAATTCATTTCACCAGGAAGCGTAGACCCACCGTGACCTGTCATCTCGCTAATCATATCAGTCTCTGTGGTTAGCTATTTGCTTTTTGTGACCTTGATGTTTTTCCTTTTGTTAACCATATCACATGCATGTCCTTTACTGAAAGTTACCCACTCCGCTTCCTTTTAGTGAGAAGGAGATAGCCTGTCTATTAAAAAACAAATAAATGAAACAAGCTATATAGAAATTGATGTTGGATTTGTCTACGTTAGATTCCAAGTTATAAAGCCATTAAACCATAATGTGGCTAGCAGTTTCAGTAAAGATTGATTTAAATACTGAGTGTACATATCACTTAATTTATATTCACGTATTCTACCCTCACCTGTTCTGTAATGTGGAGTCACCTCTAGCACTTTTCTGTGTGTGGTTTGTGACATCATCCCTGTTGTCACTTCATTTGGTATTCTGCAAATGTCATAGTACATATGCTATTTGGTCTAGAACTATCATTGTTGGTGTCCCTACTAATCTAGAGTGCTCTTCTAAGAACGTAGTGACACTGTCAGTGTTAGTCTGTCATCTTCATACTTAACTACTTAGAATGTGGTCCTACTATGGCCATCATCTCTGAGCTGGCTGGAAATACAGGGACTCAGGCCCCACCCCAGTCACTGAGAATCCGTATTCACTTAGGGTCCAAGGCTTTGTCTGTGCGCATGCCTGGCAGAGGAGAGCTGTTCTGCGTAGTGCAGGGGTTTGCTAACCTGCCACACAACATCCCTCATTTGCTTCATACTTCCTTTCTAAAGCAGACTCGATGATGTTATTGTTGACTTGTCTTGAAAGCATGAGGAGTCCCTTAATAACTTATTAATTTAACTAATTGTTAACAATCTCCATGGCATTTTAATTAAAAACACAGACTCTCAGGCCTTTTGAATGGGTCTGGCATGGGGCCAATGAGTCTGTTGTTTTTCAGAAGCCTCCGAGAGATTGTGGTCATGGGGAGGTGGGTTTAGGAAACACTGGTTCCTTGGTACAAAATCAGCCTCATTAGCTTTTAGACCTCCTCAGTGTGGCTTTGCCCATTTTCCCCTCCCTTCCCTGACTTACCACCCTCCTCAAGACTCTGATACCCAAACAGTTCTCCCAACACATGAATTATGTCCACATGGTAGTGCCTTTGGTGCCTTTCTGTGTGGGATATGTACATTGACCTGACCCCCTTTGGGTTCTACTCATTGGCTTCCTTTCTGGTCTCGCCCAGACATCACCTTTTCATAGCCAGAACTAAGGACTTCCTGGTAGCCATTATTTTTTATTACTCTTTTCTAGTACCTATACTATTTGGCCTAGAATTTTCACTGTGCCCTCAGTAGCCTGGTGTGCCCTTCTAAGAATGGACTTCCCAGTCTCAGTTATCTTTGAGCTCTTTCCACAGCTAGCTCTATCCTAACTCCCAGTTGATTTATCAGTGTACTTTTTCCATCATGAAGCTCTCAAATGTGTATTGAATTGAGTGAAATTCAATTCAAAGCAGCCCTGTTCCATTGAGCATCATTTACTAAAAGTCCTTAAGTCACAAGTAATTTGAAGTCATCAATAGGATACGTGGAGTACTGGGTGCTTACTGGGTTTTGCAAATGGGGATTCCCCTTACCAATAGATGGATTTGCTTCATTCATGACAGGTTACATTAGCAAACACCAGTCCATTCCATTCTTCCAACCCCTGGGGTCCTCTGTGCATTCTGCTAGCATCAGGGACATTCTTCCAGGCTTAGTGTTTAAAGAACTAATGAATTACTTTTAATTGCTTCGTGCCAGTAGTTAAAGAAAGATAATGAAGGGTTGGGGGTGGGGGGACTACTATTTTGCTTTATAGTAATTCCCAGTACCTCGTGCATGCTAGGCAAGTGCTCTACCATTGGGCCACATCTTCAGCCATTGTTTCATAGTAATTTAAAAAAAATAAACCTCCATAGAAAACATGAAATTAAGTGAGCAGTCTGCTAGAGTGTTTACTTAATAACACTTGCCATAATAATTTATTCTTTGTGTTTTGGTACTTCAATACAATTTTAAAACTTCTTTTTACCTTCTTACAGGTGGCTAATTGTGAAAGATTCCTTTTTACTGTACATGAAGCCAGACAGCGGTGCCATTGCCTTTGTCCTGCTGGTAGATAAAGAATTCAGAATTAAGGTGGGGAAGAAAGAGACAGAGACGAAATACGGTCTTCGAATTGATAATCTTTCAAGGTAGAAATTTCAAATACTGAAAAAAAATTCTACCAAAATCTCTTAAAAGCAAAGGTCTTCTCTCAGCATTAAATGAGAAAACTGTTGCCCTCAATGCAGAGAAACTAAAGCAGATACTTTAAAGCAACTGAGGCCAATAGGAGAAGGGAACCAGGAACTAGAGAAAAGGTGAGATCAGAAAGAATTAACCTAGAAGGTAACACCCACGCACAGGAAATCAATGTGAGTCAACTCCCTGTATAGCTATCCTTATCTCAACCAGCAAAAACCCTTGTTCCTTCCTATTATTGCTTATACTCTCTCTACAACAAAATTAGAAATAAGGGAAAAATAGTTTCTGCCGGGTATCAAGGGGGTGGGGGGAGAGGGAGGGGGCGGGGAAAGGGAATGGGATTGGGGAAGGGGGGAGAAATGACCCAAACATTGTATGCACATATGCATAAAAGAAAAAAAAAGTGAGAAAAGAGTAAACTAATTTAAACGTTGAAAAAATTGTTATTTAAAGCTCATCCTCAGTCAGAAGTAATAAAACCACTTTTTCCTTATACATGTATTATACATCTACTTTCTTTTCTGTTTTGTATTGTTCTGTTTTCAGTGCTGGGAATTGACTCCAAGGCCTTGGGCACACTAGGCAAGTGCCCTATATCCCCAGCCAGGAGATGTTTTATGAGACAGGGTCTCACTATGTAACCCCAGGCTGACTTCGAACTTGTGATTTTCCTGCCTTAGCCTGCTGAGTGCTGAAATTATAGTCACCACACCTGATTGCCTTGTATATATTTTTAAGAATAGAGTATTATTTATGTGACAGTCATAATTAATTATCCCATATGTAGATACTTAACCAAATTAACCAGAGTGTAGTTTACATTTAAATGCAATAAAGTTTCACTTTATAAATCAATATCCTTTAATTAGAAAAACACCCCCAAATTTTGATTTACAGAAATCCTGTTTACACACAGATTTTGAGAACACTATCTTGAAAAGACCCTCAAATATATTCTTATATATTTTATTAGTGAGTACGTGTGTGTTGATATGTTTCTTTCTGGAAGTTTGTAATCATACCATGTATGTGTGTGTACATTTGTTTCTATGTGTGTATTTTACCCTCATCTATGTGAATATATATTTTTTCTCTGTTTACACAGTTACAACATAGATACATATACCCCACTGACAGATTTTATACGTTCACTTATGGACTCAGCACCTAGTATCCTTTCAAATTTAGATTTGTGTAGCTTATTTTCACCTCTTGATGATAGTGACCAATTCTGACACTTGGCATCCAAAAAAGGTTTCTGCATTTGTTTTCAGTGTTTATAAATCTTCAGAGGTTTAGGATAGTTTAGGCATCATGTATGCCAGAGGGAATTAATCAGCCATGTTGCGCTGATTGTGAAGCTCAGATTATGTCAATAAGACACATTTTTCCTGTTTTTCTTAGCTTGTCTTTGTTGAGCTGTCCCATCCTTAAGACTAGTCTCCTCATGGAGGCAAGATGGCTGCTCCCATCCTCACACCACATTCAATGGGAGGGAGAGTTTCTCTTCCTGGCATTCTGGAGCAAGTCCTGAGAGTTGCTCATGCAGGGTGGAACTGACTGGTGCACTTATTCCCAAACCAGCTCTGGGAACAAGGGCTGCAGTATGCCGTTTTGGGAAGGGATGACTGTCCCAGACACCAAGGGAGAGGACACTAGACAGCACAAAGGGAAATGTCCTCTAAAGGAACCAAAGACTCTGACACTTAGAAGTAGGACATCAACTTAAACCTCTTTCTCGGCCCTCCCTGTAGCTCAGCATAGTCCAGTGTCTGTGGTAGTTGCCTTGATGCATGTTTGCATGAATGAGCAAGTGAAAAAGAAACCTAAAAATTTATTTTTGAGAAATTGATTATTTTTAGAAATTCTACCAAAGATTTTTAGAAGCCTGCTTTTTTTTATATTCTTTGCCTAAATTTTTCAATTTATGTTTGCTATAATACCAAATAAATCAGGGCATGTTTAATTAAAATTAAAAAAAAAAACCACAGTAACTGTTGTTTTTTCACATTTTTGCCTTTCTTTAAAGGACACTTATTTTAAAATGCAACAGTTACAGACATGCTCGGTGGTGGGGAGGGGCTATAGAAGAATTCATCCAGAAACACGGCACCAACTTCCTCAAAGATCACCGATTTGGATCCTATGCTGCTATCCAGGAGGACACTCTGGCTAAGTGGTAAGATATTTTTGCTCTTAGGCTGTCCAGGTATGTGTAGCATCTGAAATTATAGTGGTTTAAATTCAGCTGGAATCAAATTTCAAAACTGTAAAAAAGAGAATATGCATTGTATTTAACAAGTGCCTCTTTTTCTGAGACCCTTGGAGGATGACCTGATCATAGATTCGTTTCTAAAGTTTTTCACAGTGAGCTTTATATTTTAAAGTTTGATCTTTTTTTAACACTAACTTCACACATTTTCTTAGACACAAATGGAAGGTTTACTTAAGTCATTAGCATTAATTTAGGAAAAAGCATTTACTTGCTAGATGTTTCTTTTAAATACAGTCATGGTGAGCATGACTACCACAGACTGGAATCTGGCCTGTTTTTAATCTCAGAAGAAAAACCATGTGTGAGTTCAGCAGGACAGGGGAATTCTTCTGGCCCCATCTGGTCATGAGGCTCAGCTAATCTGTTGCTTTCTAAGCAGGTAAGAGTGAGGCTGCTTGGGATGACTGCTTACTGCCCTTCCTAGTAACAGACAGAATACCACAATTGTAATCCTCGTTTTCCATTTACACAAAGTGAACTGGTGGTGATGAGACACTGGCCAGTGCCATTCATGTTTTGCTTTACCATTGTAAACATTGTCTTGTTTTGTTTAACAAATTCAAAACCAAAAAATGGAACAGAAAATGTGTTTTTCAGGTATGTTAATGCCAAAGGATATTTTGAAGACGTGGCGAATGCCATAGAAGAGGCAGAAGAAGAGATTTTCATCACAGATTGGTGGTTAGTATTTGTCCATGAGAATTTTGTCTGGAGGTTTCTGTGTTTAGAAACATACATCTGTGTAATCAGACGTTATGAAAACTAGCAGTATTCAGAGATGGTTTGGCCAAAGTCTCAACCAATTAACTAATAATACCTAATTTTCAAAACACTTGACCTCCAAATATATTCTTAAAATATTTAGCTTGAACAATTTTGTTTTTTAATCTTTGCATTAGGAGGTAGACACCTAAATATTCATTTTAGTAAACATTGTGATTATCCTCCCTGGATATCTTTCTCCTCTTGGCATGTCTGTCCTGAGGTCCAGTGACCTGCTTCTGGGTTGGTCCTTCGATGGTCAAATAGTTCCATTTGCCTGTTACTGTTCAAATGTCCTCTGTAATGACCAGGTCTGGCCAGCTCTTCTGAAGATACATCAGTCTCACTTTCTGATCCTCTTTAAAAACATACGGGAGTCGTGGTGCTTATACAGCCACCGGAAGTCTCATATCTAAAACTCATGAGCTCTTGGAGTTGGTGTAGCTTTGTCATCTGACTTCAGTACCAATTGTCCATGTGCCTACACAGTTAAGACCTATGATAGATGCCAACATTGGTGGCGATGGAAATAAAATGTCTACAATATGTTTCCCTTTTCGGAACTTAGTTGCCTGAAATGTCCCTTATTTATGTCTATCCTATTTCCTTCCAAATGACACCTCTTTCTTTTTTTTTTATTTTTTATTATTCTTCATATGTGCATACAAGGCTTGGGTCATTTCTCCCCCCTGCCCCCACCCCCTCCCTTAACACCCACTCCGCCCCCTCCCTCTCCCCCCTACCCCCTCAATACCCAGCAGAAACTATTTTGCCCTTATCTCTAATTTTGTTGAAGAGAGAGTATAAGCAATAATAGGAAGGAACAAGGGGTTTTGCTGGTTGAGATAAGGATAGCTATACAGGGAGTTGACTCACATTAATTTCCTGTGCGTGTGTGTTACTTTCTAGGTTAATTCTTTTATATCTCACCTTTTCTCTAGTTCCTGGTCCCCTTTTCCTATTGGCCTCAGTTGCTTTTAAGGTATCTGCTTTAGTTTCTCTGCGTTAAGGTCAACAAATGATAGCTAATTTTTTAGGTGTCTTACCTATCCTCACCCCTCCCTTGTGTGCTCTCGCTTTTATCATGTGCTCAAAGTCCAATTCCCTTGTTGATACCTCTTTCTAAACACGAGAGTAAATTCAAACTTAACACAGCACCATATCCCTTCAAAAAGTATTTCTGGAAGTTGGCAAAGACATCAGAGAGAATGAAAATAGTTTTCCCATTGAGCCTGATTTTCATGTTTTATGTAAGAAAATACTATCTCTTTCAAAGGTTCTGAACACTTAAATTTAGGCTCATTTAAACATCTAAAGAAATGTTTTCTCTTCTGCTTTCAGCTAGAGAATGAATCAGGTTATTTCTGTTCATAACTGCACTAGGATAATATCTTATTACAACACACACTTTTGAAATAAAACCTTCACAGTGACTTCCCTCTTAACAAGTGAGGAAAATTCTTGGTTTTGTCAGTCATAACTCCAAAGAGTATACAGTAGTATTTCATTGTGGTTTTATATGGTATCCGTAATGTCTTGTTATGATGAACAAATTTTCATGTGCTTTTTGGACATTTGCTTAATCCTTTTGGAAAATATACATTCAACTCTTCTTCTCTTTCCCCTCTTTCTTCTCCTTTCCTTCCTCCTTTAAAAATATTTTTTCTTGTGATGCTCAAGATTGAATCCAAAACTTTCCCCCTATTTTTCCTTTTTAAATTAGGTTTGGCTGCCTTTATATAGGCAGTTGTAGATCTTTGTACATTGTAGTTAAAGTAGTTGTTCCATTTCACCTTGGCTTCCTTGGTTTCTGATGAGAAATTTTCAGTCACTTAATCATTGTTCCCCTCTACTTAGTATTTTATTTTTCTTCTGAGTGCTTTCAAAATTCTTCCTCTGTGTTTGATTTTCAGAAATTTTGTTATGCTATTTGTGGTTATCCTGTTTGGGGTACTTTGAGCAGTTATTGAATTTTTGTTTTTATATCTTTAGCACAATTTGAAAAATTCTCATCATTATTTCTTTTGATTTTTTTTTTTGAAATTTCTTCTTCTAGGTCTCCAGTGACGCAAAAAGTGTCTTTTAAATATGGTTTCATGGGTTACTGGAGGTCTGTTCATTTTTCAAAATATTTTTTTTTCTCATTCAGATTGGATAATTTCTATTTAGCCATCTTCAAGTTTATTTATTTGCTTCTCTGTAATCTTCATTCTGGCATTTAGTCTATCCAATGAAATTTGTTTTTTTGTTTTTCTGTTTGTGGTAATTGTGTTTTTCATTTTGAAATATTCTATTTGATTCTCTTTAGATCTTCCCTCTCTTCAGTGAGACTTTCTGTATTTCCACACATTTCATGAATGTTCACCCTTATTGTAGTATTTTTTATAACATCTGGCAAGGAATCAAACTAGATAATGAAAATTCTAGTATCCTTGCCATCTTGCTGTTTCCATGCAGGTTGACATTTTTTATGGTTCTTTGTATGCCCAGTACTTTTTTATTGTATTCTAGAAAAATTTTAATATTAGAAAAGTCTATTACTTCTGTTTACTATTATTACTTAATATAATAAAGAATTTGTTTAAGTTTATGGGGAGCATTGTTACTTTTATTTTAGTAGGTAATTCGGTTACAATGGTTGAAGCAGAAAATTCCAATGAGTCCTCCAGGGGTGTGGTTTCAAGGTTACTTTGTTTTTAAAGACTGCAGTGCTATTTAGCTCTGTTCCATAGCATTGGTGGTATAGTGGTGAGCACAGCTGCCTCCCACATTTGTTCCATATGAAGCACACTACCTAGTGCCCAGTCTGGGACTTGCGTGGGGCTTAGTTCAGTTAAGCTCTGTAGTGTGAAGCTCAGGATCAAATTCATGTAAATGAGCCAAGAGATTATAAACAAGCTTATGGGACTGCTTTCCTGGGCTCATCCCTCTCCACAATCTCTCAGCTGCCTTCTGCTTCCCTGCACCTTCCCTCCTAGTGCTCTGGCTAGAAAGATGAGTTTCGGTTTACCCTGCTCTGCCATGTGATTTCTTTGGTAGTCTCACATACAGAGCTAGCCATTGGTACTTCCTGAGATCACTGCTTTTCCAACAGGAGAGGAAAGTTCCCCCACAAAGGCTTTGTGACTTTGGGAATAAAATTCTTTTCTTCTTCATGTCTGAACCAGATGACTTCCGCAGGTCTCTCTGTTGCAGTCCCATTTCCAGATTGTCTCTCCAGACCAAGGAAGAAAGGCAGTGAACTCACCACTGACACATGATGCTTCGATTCATGAACACTACATCCTTCTCCAGTTCTTTAGCTCTTATTTCACTTTTCACCACACAGTTTGTTCTTTTCTGTGTAGAGTTTTTATTTTGTTAAATTTGTTGCTAAATACTTCATATTCTTTATGTTACTATAAATGGTACTTTAAAATTAATTTTCTGAGAGCATAAAGAACTAGAAATACAGTTGATTTTTGTGTATTGATCATGCATCTTGGGATCTTGCTAAATTCATTTATTAGAGCTAGTAGCTTTTTTATAGATTCCTTAGGATTTGTCTTCCTATATGGCCATGTGACCTTTGAATGAAGACATTTTATTTTTTCCTTTCAAATTGTTATGTCTTAAGTTTATTGTCTTGCCTTATTGCATTGGCAGAAATCATAGAGAAACTATCAAATAGAAGTAGTAACATGGATCTCAGTGATCAAAGCATTAAAGAAAAGCTAAGTCTTTTATAACTCTGTATGACATTAGAGGTATGTTTTTATAGATGCCTTTTACTGAGCAAGTTCATTCCTATTTGTAATTTGTTAAGAATTTTTATTCTCAATAGGTATTGAATTTTGTCAATTTTTCTGCAATTTTTTTTTTTTTTCAGTACTGGAGCTTGAACTTAGGGCCTTCACCTTGAGCCACTCCACCAGCCCTATTTTTGTGATGAGCTTTTTCAAGATAGGGTCTTGTGAACTATTTTCCTCTGGCTGGCTTCAAACTGCGATCCTCCTGATCTCTGTCTCCTGAGTAGCTAGGATTATAGGTCTGAGCCACTGGTACTCAGCTTACAGGTTTTAAAATGGTCTTTTTTCTCCCTTAATGTGGTATATTACATTGATTGATTTCCAGCTGTTAAACCAACCTTGCATTCCTAGGATAACCCCACTTGGTCATGACCTGTTATCCTTTTTATAAGCCAGCAGGTTTTTAGTCTTTACTTTTATGATCATAAGGGATATATTTCTGCAGTTTTCTTTATTTTACTTGAGTAAAATATATTATTTTTACTTGATATCTGCCTCATTAAGTGAATTAGTAAATGCTTATTTCTTGTTTGTTTCCTGAAAGAATTTGAATAGGAGTGATACTTCTTCCTTAAATATTTAATAAACTTCATCTGTAAAGTTGTCAGAGTCTGAAGTTTTCCTTCTGAGATGATTTTAAATTTTAAATTCACTTTTAAAATAGATATAAGATTAGAGTTTCGGTTTCTTTCTGTTTTCATTCTAAAAATTTTTTTCAAGGAATTTGTTCATTTTGTCTAAATTATCACAAATATTGACATAAAGTTTTATAGTATTTTCTTATTATCTAATATTATTTTAATGTCTGTAGGACTTATAGTGATTTTCTGTCTTTGATTCATTTTTTCTCAATGTCAGCTTTTCATTTCATTGAATTTTCTCTATCATATTTCTTCTTTTATTTCTTCCTTTTTTTTTTTTTTTTGGTGGTGCTGGCATTTGAACTCAGGGCTCACTTGCAAGGCAGGTACTCATGTACTACATGAGTCACACCTCCAGCCCTTCTTTGTTTAGTTATTTTTCAGGTAGGGTTTCTCATTTTTGCCTGGACCAGACTCAAACACAATTCTCCTACCTATGGCCTCCTGGGTAACTGGGGTCACAGGTGTATACCATGCCTAGATTTTTGATTAAGATTGGGTCTTGCTAGCTTTTTGCCTGGCCAGTCCTCAAACTCCAGTCCTTCTGATCTCCACTTCCCAAGTTACTGGGATTATAGGCATGATTCATGCCTGTTTTTCATTTTTATATTTTTACTTTTTCAGTTTTATATTTCACTGAATTTCACTTTTATCCTTATCATTCTCATCTTTCTTCTCACTGTGAATGTAATTTGTTATTTTTCTGTCTTCTTAAAGGTGAGAGCTCTGGTCCTTTTTATCTTGCCATATAAACTTTTAGAGCTGTAAAATCTTCTAAGAGGTAAATTTATTCAAAGGTACATCTTAACACCTCTGATCTCTGAAATCTGGATGCATTCTGCATTCAGTAACATCTTACAGTTGTAATTGTCACCATATTTTCCTTACTGGTACCTGTAGTAATAATCCATCTTATCACTGGTGTCCAAGGTTCAGCAAAATTCCATATTACACAGTTCTTTTGAACTTTGTTTATTGCTCGGTAAAGATACTGATACAACAATATCTGGTGAGTCACAGCTGCTTTCTTTTTGCCATATGGCTGTCATTTACATTTTGTGTATAAGTTGAATATCCCTCTTCCATATTTTTATGCATTATTTTTAAATTTAGGGCTACTTTAGAGCTCTCTTAAGATCTTTTAACCTGTCTAGTAGAATGTTCTGCTTCCAAGTTATGCAATGCTTTTGGTTAAATAAAATGAAGGACTTAGTTTTAAAGTACACCATTAAAAATGTTCCCACAACTGAAACTCTCTGAGTTTATAATGTATACATCAAAGCCATTGCCAGTGTGGATGTGATATTAGGCTCCACTACTCCAGTGAACTAACAGAGCACAGCGATGTACTTTCCTACTGAAAACAGACTTCTTTCTCATTCTTTTTTGATCTTTTTTTATTATTGTTATGCCATTTGTTTTGACATAGATTACCTTCCAGCTTTTTCCTACTCTAAATTTAATATGTAAATACTAATAATCTCCGTCCTCTGTTTTCTTATTGGTCCTGTCCAATTTGCATTCCTTTAGAAACCTCATCTTTTAATTTTAACTAAATGAAATAGAGTATACAAATGATTTCTTCTAATCTCTTTAGCTCCTGCAACCCCTGCTGTTTTCTCATGTGTAGAGGACTCCCTAGCAGGGCAGTGTTCCAGTCCAGAATTCTGAGGCTTTAATCCTTACCCAGTCTCCTTCTCCTCTGGTAGGCCTCACATTTCAGAAGACAGTCCATGGTTTTACTGCTTGTTTGTTTTTCCTCATTACAGGGAAGTTACATCGAATACCTACATAACTTATACTAACTGTAGAGCCCAACCCTGGGGGAAAATGTGACTCTATTCTACTCTTAGCTGTCTTGTAGCTCTCCTAAGAAAGAAGAGCCCAGGGGACTGCTCTAGCATTTGGAGAATTTCATATGTCAACACACCTTCCTCCTTTCCTGCTCAGAAAGCCTCAGCCTCCCACAGACACTGCTTGCAGCTGGCACAGGAAGTCAGTGTGCATGCCTCTCAGAATACTTTGGGCTTGGAGTAACAGGATGCTCACTAGAAGAGGGCTTAAACACTGATGATTTGTCTCATTTAATGAGAAAGCCAAAATTGGGCAATCCTAAGACTGGGGAAGTGGTCTAGTAATTTCTCAGTTCTGGTCTTCCCCTTAGAATTTCAATACAACTGCACTTCGTCAAGTATCCTGGCCCTGTAGATGTCCAGGCCTTCTCCTGGTGTGTATGGTATGTGTGTGCTCGCACATGTGTGTGTCTTCTATCAAACGGGAAACTTTCTCACTAAGTGCATGTACTTCCTCATACCTCTCATTGTCTAGGACATGTCACATCTTGCTCCAGCTCACAGGGATCCAGGAAAACTAGTGTTTAAAACTTGCAGATTCTATAGTGGGAAGTAGACTCTGACAGTACAGAAGGAGAGGTGGAGAATGACTGTTGTCTAGACAGCGGCATTCGCTTATATATGTGTGCATATGTGTATAAAAGAGAGGAGAGCAAGAAATTGAGGAATTCAGATAAGATTGTTTGTGGTTCTTTTGGTGCTGGGTATTGAACCCAGCACCTCAGGCATCTAAGTGTGTGCTCTATCACTGAGCTATACTCCCATTGAGATAAATTTTCTATATGGATAAAGTTTCTTTTTTGTATATGAAGCTGTACCTAGACTCATATCATAACCAAGATGACCTGGCATGGTGGGAAGGTCGAATCACACACAATCAGGGTATAGGGATAGGGTTACCAGAACTATGATAGTAACCACATGGTGACAACATTTGGACTAAACTATCTTTCATGTTTATGACATAATCAGAAGTTTACATTTCGTTTACATGAACTCTGGTTTTTGTGACTTCAGGTTAAGTCCAGAGATCTTCCTGAAACGCCCAGTGGTTGAAGGAAATCGTTGGCGGTTGGACTGCATTCTTAAACGAAAAGCAGTATGTATCTTCCCAGCAAATGCTGATAGAATTCCTTAACGTTTGTTACCTCTAAGATGTCCTTTCTTTTCTGAAGCCCTTCATGTATACTTACAACTTTTTACTTTAGAGTTTGTCAAAAAAAAGAAAACAGGATTATTACTGTTTTCTACTTTGTGTGGTTCTAGCCTTTCTTTTGCATGGATAGCTATTTTAGCCTAATTCACAGCATGAATTATATTAGCATGTCTAATTTTTGTTTATTAACTAATGATAGCCAGTTAATTTTATAGGTAAAAATTGTAGTAAAATTACATCATTGACTAATAAATGGTGAAATAGAACACAGTGCTTTGTTTTGCTCATTATTCTGTCAGGTAAGCAGGAGACAAAGGAGTCTGGAGACTGGCTTCAGTCAGATGAAGGCCAGCTGGTGGAGAAGTCTAGCAGAGAGGGATGATAATAATTGGTGGGTTTTTGGTTCCAATTTGGGGACCATCCGTAGTAATAATGTGAAACATTTCCTCTTCAGTTGGCCCTGTCGATTCTGGGTGAACATTGAGTGTGGTCTTTTTTTTTATATATATAAAAAGTTGGTGAGTATAGTCTCACCACTGACTACACTTATATTGCTAATGAATCCTGTTCGTGTAGTGAACCCTACCCAAATTAAGTCAAGTTAGAATAGATCTGGATTTATTATTAATTCTGCCCAAATTAGGGAATGCTAACATAGTCACAGTTATTTGAAACCCTTCATTTTTTTTTTTTTTTTTTGCTATCATTAAACATTTCATGAGATTAATGGATCCTGAGCAGCCACAGGACATCAATTCTGTAGCTCACAGCCTTCACTCATTCCTTCTTCCTATCCTCTTTATCCCACTGACTTTCCCCTCCTCTCAATGTCCTCTGCCGTCACATTGGGGTTCCACAGATATCCATAGAGAGCCCTTACTGCTACTACTGTGGCCAGAAGTGGAAACTCTTTATTTCAGACACGTGTTCTGCCGTCATTTTGATGGATGGTCTAATTTGTTCCATTCACAAACTTGGAAATTCTGATCCTGAAAAACTTTATTCCCATATACCTTAAGCAATTAGTGTATGATTACTGAATGGGAAGCAGTGAGGAGGTTCTGTGGGGTGTAAAAGGCAGGAGAGATGGTTTGATCAACATGAGTGGGACAGCATGTTGGGAAAGTGAATCTGGTAGTGAGAGAGAGAACTCAGCTTCAATGTATTTATTTGTAGTACTTGGAATTGAACCCAAGGCCTCATGTCTGCCAGGCAAGCTCACTACTCCTGAGCCCTCCAATCCTAGAAAGCTAAATTTTAGATCCCAAAGTGTGAGGGGTCTGCAGGAACCTAAGTGAACTTGAAAAAGCCAGTGATGCCTGAGCAGGGCTAAGGGGAAAGACCTGCAGGCCTGGTCCTCCACCTCTCATTAACTGGCAGTGGGCCTGCCAGGTTCCCTTTTCTATGACTTCTCTGTGGCTTCTCTGCTTTTATGGCCTGGGAACCCTGGGGAGGTCTCTGGTGAATACTGTGGCCAGGTAAATATTATTGTTCGATAATGGTGCTTCATTTCCAGCTCATCCACTTTCTGAAGCTTGTAATTTTTAAATTATGGATAATGATTTTTTAAAATTTCCTAAGGAAATACCAATACTATTAAAGATTAATGTCTCAGTGATACATTTAGAAGAATGTTCTTCTTTCATCTCAGTGTGCCATATTCTTACTTTGGTCATAAATTTTTTAATGCTCAGATCATTCCAATTTGACAATTCATATGCACGTAAATACTGCTTTGCATAAATAATTTAGAATCTGAAAGCCACATACTATCTTTGCAAAGGAAGGGGTTGAAACATAATATTTATTTTTGCATTAATGGGGCCCAGAGGTCCACAAAGTTGATTAAAATGAATGTTTTTTTCCTTTTATCTGATTGTACAGATTTTTTAGTTTATTTTTTTTTCCAGTACTGAGATTTAAACTCAGGACCCCACACTTGCTAGGCAGGCACTCTTTCACTTCAGCTACTCTACCAGCCCTGTTTTGTGTTGGCTATTTTCAAGAATAGGGCCTCACAAACTATTTACCTGAGTTCTTTAAACTGCAATCCTCCTGATCTCTGCCTCCTGAGTAGCTAGGATTACAGGTGTGAGCCACTAGCACCTGGCCTGATTGTACAGATTTTTTCTTTTTTCTTTTTTGGTAGTACTGGGGTTTGAACTCAGGGCTTCACGCTTGCTAAGCAGTCAGTCGCTCTACCACTTGAGCCACTCCACCAGCCCTATACAGTTTTTTTGAGAGGAATTTAGAAAATGTTTCTGTCTCATAGCCAATGTATACGCAAACATCTCTTATAATAGCCATTTCTGAGGGAGGAAATACAATATTTTGCTTCTCTGGTAATGACCAAGTTGATATTTTTCCATTTCCCTTGGCTTTCTGACATGCAGTGTCACCATTGAAAATAGCGTGAACCAGTCTGAAGCAGATTGTTTACAGTTCAAATGATGCTCTCTGGGTTTTCCAGTTCCTCGTGATCAGTACTAACCGGCGATAAGATAAGTTGTATCATGGTACTGGTAACCCCTGCCCACTGGCTGTATGTGATTCCACCTTAGAAATACAAGATTTACACTAAAGCAATTTTCCAGTGCAGTAAACTGGAGACTGTCAGGGAAAGGCTTTTGTTTTCATATTGAATTTGACTTCAGGCCAACTTTTCTTCGCTCATGGAGTCAGGGCACATGCAGAGTTGCAATCAGCAGTCAATGAAAAGGAAAGATCTACCCGTTTGAGAAATGCAACAAAGAATCACATCTCTGCACAGAAAAACCAATGAAATCTTGTCAAAGTGGTGGGCTGGGATGGCTTGCAGGAAAGGGGAGAAGATATCTTTAACCATGTCTTAAACAAAAACTGGTCATAAAAATGGCACACACACATTTGTGCTATTGACAGCACAGTGCCTCTTGCTTTTAATAATGAAGAAACAATGAAGATATGATTTCCTTGTTATCCTTTCTCTTTCATTTTCTTAGTATACTGCACCCTTGGGGAAGTTCTTGCAATGCTAAAATTACTGATTACCCTGGTGTGGGGGTAAGGTAAGTTGTACTCAGGCACTGGTCAAACTTAGCAGCATTTGGAAAATATTTGGACCACACTTCTTTGGAGAAGCAGGGAAAAAGCTGGCTAAGAAACAAAGTCTTTGATTTCCATTACAAATTTTTTCATTATCTTCCCATGGATTTTGTGAATCTAAAGCTCCTAGAAAATCCTGCTGTTTATCATGTTTCTGCTGTACTTATGAGAAACCTGTTAGGGGAGTGGGCAGAACGTTCATCTGCTGGAAGTCATGTTTCATGAAGTTTATTTTTTGGAACCTTTGTGTTGGTTGAACTCAGTAGAGGTAAGAAATGTGATGTTGTGCAGACATGACTCCAGGGAACTCTCCTTGCTTCCCTATTAATGTTTTCCTTCCTCTTCTCTAAGCAAAAAAATGTTTCCTCCAAGGTCACTCGAAGGTGTTGGTAAGACATGAGATGTTTCAAAAGTGTGATTTTTAATTAACAAAATTTGCATCAGTGTGTTTTTGTAAATTTGGCCTTGATTTGCAGGAATATTCCTCAAGTTTTTATAAGCCTGCACTAGCACAAGGAAGCAAATGCCCTTTGTCCCAAAGAAATGATTTTCCTTTGCCATTTACAGAGTTTATGATAGTTTGGAAACCCATGACCAAAAGGAGAATTTATTGCTTTTCTATCACAGGAATCTTGTCATGAATTAACTGTTTATGGTGGCTATAGGTTTAAGTAAATAATTGTAAACCACTTTAAAAATGACCTTTTTATATTTAATTGCTTCCTTATTAGTCATTTGTATCTAAGATTAAAAAGCTTAAAGTCTCTATAAACTATTTCCTTTAAAGTTAATTTATTTAAATGAGAAAAGACAGTGTAGAAGAAAATGTCAGGTATTAACAAATGGAAAGTAATACTATCATCCATTAGTGTTAACATCCCTATTATTTCAAAAACCCATTACTTATGCAGGTAAGTGGAAAACTGTAGGATTCAGGCCAAATTTCTAATTTGCTACTAGTGCCCTTCATGAGTAATAATGGCTTAAGCGTAAGAAGCAGAATTCCATCCATTTGAAACAAATGAACCATGATGGAAGATGTCAGGTGTAATGTTCTAACTTTAGGTTGAAATTTGGAGTTTTAAACTTTGTATAATACTTTTGAATGAGAAGCTTTTTTTTTTTTTTTTTGGTCTCTCATTATTCAGTACTGAATCATACAAATACTCAAATAACAAAATAGGTCTGAAAAGTAGGGAAGAAATTCTGAGGATACAAAAAAAATAGTAAAAAGGCAATCCACCACGTGTGGATGAAGAGGAGAGAGTTTCCTAAAGGAAGTGGATTGTGAGCTGCATGTTGGAAGGGGTCCCTGTGAGTGGATGGGGAGAAGGAGAAGAGTGTTCAGGTGGGGACAGTGTAGCCCAGGCCAAAAGCCTGTCATGCACCAGAAGTAGAACAGAAGATGCTGTTGCTTCTCTGTACTACCAGCCATGTCTTTTGATGATTAATATTAGTAATATCATTTTATAGCACGTTAGAGTTTACTAAGCACTTTTTGATTTAATTTGGTACAACTAAATAGGTCACAACAAGATTTGTCTCTTTTTTTTTTTTTTTTTTTATGCTAAATTATTCTTTTGCAAATGCTAATTTTTTTTTTTTTTTTTTCATTTTTCTTTTATTATTCATATGTGCATACAAGGCTTGGTTCATTTCTCCCCCTGCCCCACCCCCTCCCTTACCACCCACTCCGCCCCCTCCCTCCCCCCTCAATACCCAGCAGAAACTATTTTGCCCTTATTTCTAATTTTGTTGTAGAGAGAGTATAAGCAATAATAGGAAGGAACAAGAGTTTTTGCTGGTTGAGATAAGGATAGCTATACAGGGCATTGACTCACATTGATTTCCTGTGCGTG